TGCTTTTGTCAAACACAGGATTATTTTGACAGCCCAAAATGTATAAATAATAGAAATCTTGCTTCATAAGAGAATTATGCTGCTGCTGCTGCTGCTGCTGCTGCTGCTGATAGTGCTAGTTCAGAGCCTTTAATTCTTGAGTTATAAAAGGGAACATGGGGGAATGCTGTTTTCTCTCCAAGGGAAAGGAGGACTCCTTTTGGCTTGCCTGTGTTCCTCATGGTTTAAACAAACAAAAACAGGCAGACAGACACTTTCCAATCAATGAGACACCAACACACAGATATCAGAATGGCCAAAATCCAGAACTCTGACAACACCAAATGTTGGCATCCATTGCTGGTGTGAATGCAGAATGGCCCCACTACTCTGGAAGACGGTTGGTCAGTTCCTCACAACGTTAAACATACCCTTCCCATTTATCCAGCAGTTGAATTCCTTGATATTTATCCAAGGAGTCTATAACTTAGGTCTATATGAAAATCTGTACATAGATGTTTACAGCAGCTTTATTCATGATTGCTGACCCTTACAAACAAACAAGATGTCCTTCCATAGGGAAATGGATAAACTGCTACATCCAGACCATGGAATATTATTAGTGTTGAAAAGAAACAGTCTATCAAGCCACAGAAGGACATGGAGGGAACTTAAATGCATATTATCAAGTGAAAGAAGCCAATCTGAATGCATTACACGGGTGTGATTCCAACTATCTGACATTCTGGAAATGGAAAAACTATGGGGAAGGTCAAATGATCAGTGAATGCTAAGGGGTGAGGGTGTAGAGATGAGTAGGTGGACCATAAAGGATTTTTAGGTAGTGAAACTACTCGTTTGATACACTAATGGTAAATGTATGTCATTATACATTTGTCTAAATTCTCAGAATGTATATCCCCAAGAGTGAACCTTGATGTAAACTATGAGCTTCGGGGGACAATGGTGTATCAATGTAGTTCATCAATTGCAGTAAAGGTACCATTGGGGGTGGGAGGGTTGTTGATATTGGGGGAGGCTGTGCATGTGTTGTGGGGAGGATACAGGAAATCTTTGTATCTTCCACTCAATTTTCTTGAGAACTTAAAAACGGTTGTAGAATATTTAGTTTACTAAAAACAAACAAGCAAACATAATTTCTCCAGTCCTTGAAGTTCAAACACATGGCATATACTCTTTGACTCTGAGATTTCTCTTTCTATTTTGCCACATCTGTGGTTTCTCAATTATTGTTCTAGGAGAGTTTCTTCATTTCAGTTCGCATTTTTAATAGCATTTCTATCTGATGACTAAAATAGGACATATACAAAGTTGGGAAAGTAAAAAAACAAAGAATAAGAAAAACAAACCCCCAAATCCTCCCTCCCAAATTACTCCACCCAGAAATAGCAATCGCATTTTGGATAGTGGTTGGTTCTATTCTGCATTATTCTACCATCACGAAAAACTTCACAAGCATTATCGTTCTGGTAAACATTTCATGTATGACATTACACATAGTTTAGTTAATCATTCAGAATGATGATGGTAGCATATTGGAAGTTTTCAGTTTTGTACCATTCTAAATAATGTGGTGGACATCTGTGTGGTTAAAGTGTTGCTGAAATTTTTGAATTATTTCCTGGACTTGGGAATGTAGGGTTGAAGAGTGTGAATATTTTGATGATTCTTAGACTACTGCAAACTGCTTTCTAGAAATTTTGTATCTGTTTGTACTCTGAGAAGCAGTGAGTGAGAGTTTCTGTCTCTCTGGTTTTTATAAGTAAGATAATTAAAAAAAAAATCAGTTGCTGGGCACAATGGTGCAAGCCTGCAATTCCAGTGATTTGGAAGGCTGAGGCAGGAGGATAACAGGTTTGGGGAGAGCCTGGGCAACTTAGTGAGACACTGACTCAAAATGAAAAATAAAAAGGATTGCAGCTGGTAGAGCGCTTCTGGGTTCAATCCCCAGTACCATGCACACAAAAATTATTATGAAAGTAGGACAGGGAAGGTATCTGTTGGTTTAATGAACATCTCTTTTTGTCTGGTAAAGAGTGAAATTAAAAAATCTATTTGTTAATTTTCAAATATCCAATTTTGTGAATTATCCATTTGTACTATTTTACCATTTATAAATAGGGCTCTTACTGTTTTAAAAATGAACTTAAAAACTATTTCTATTTACACTATTTTTTAAATGTCAGAATTCAAAACAGAAAGTTTTCCCCTTGATATTTAAAATAATGAACTATCCCGATTAAAAGAAAATAGCATATTATAAAAAATTGTGAAGAAAGTAAAAATCTCCTACATTCTACCTCTTTGATTTGTATTAACATTTTTGAAGCATTTTCTTCTAAACTTTTATCCTACATGTGGACTGCAGTTTTTGAAGTTCAAAAATTTTAATTTTTATGCACTTAAAAACTATCGTTTAAAAATTTCATATATGCTTCAATGCTTTTGTGTTTAGGGAAGTCTGATCTAGACATTAGATAAAGAATCACTTTTAAAGATAGAGCCATGGGCCAGAGGTGGTGGCACATGCCTGTAATCCCAGAAGCTCAGGAGGCTGAGGCAGGAGGATTGTGAGTTTGAAGCCAGCTTCAGCAATTTAACAAGGCCCTAAGCAACTTAGTGAGACACTGTCTCAAAATAGAAGGACATGTGGTTCTTTTTATGAAGGCAATATATTTTAGGATACTTAGGAAATGAAGGGGGAAAATATCAGCCACAATGCCTTGACCCTATTGCAACTACTTTCTATTTTGATGCATGGTTGAATCTTTTAATCCTGAGTATTTAATTAATTTTTATGTGGTTGTAAGAATACTGCATATGCAATTTCCTATCTTGCTCTTTGCACTCATAACTATGCCATAAGCATCATTTTCATATTGCCACATAATCTTTGTCATGGTTATTTTAAATGATTCCCTAATGGCCCCTCTGGTTTCTGTATAGTCATGACTGACCCTGTTCCACTGATGAACATTTCAGTTGCTTCCTATTTTTCCTTCAAGTGATATTTTGAAACACCAATGTCCAGCCAAGCAGAATCTCCTACTATTCCCGGGGGGCTGACTATAACAGAATTTGACTTCTGCTCATTTCTTCCTCTCCTTAGAGGAGCACTGGAAGAAATCACTTTCCCTCCCCCTGTGCTGAAGATGGAACACAGAGTGTTCAAACCCAGTGCCTCATACGTGTGAGGCAAGCTCTCTACCATGGAGCTACATCCCCAGCCCAAAAAATAATTTTGAAAGAATGATTGACAGTCTTAAAATTAGGTGGAGAGGAACCTTGAGTTGAAAGCATGTTGAGCTTTCAAGAGAAAGCTGCCTTAGGAACCCGGGCTGTTGACATGTTTTAGGAGCTCATGAATGAAGCACAAGTTTATAATAGTTTTGACAGAATGCTTTCTATTTATGCAGTGCTCGGTAGGTTTTGAGGGCTGGATCTGTGCTTGGCATTTGCTATCTCTGTGACTTTCAACAGTGAGGCAACTGCTGAACCTGCTGTCTTTCTGCAGAATAGGAAGAATAATAGGCCAGGAGGGAGACCAGGGGAGTGAGGAGGGTGGGGGAAAGAACCAGGAGCAACTAAGGAGCAGGCAGGAGAGCCTCCCAGGAAAGAGAGATGCACTTGTATGAATGTAGGCTGGATCTTTTATTCCGGGGCCTCAGTGTCTCTATTTGTACAAGGGGCTTCACATGCAGTTTGCAAGAACACTTCTTACAGGAACCCCCAGTCCTGAGACCCCCAACCCTAGGCCAGGCCCTCACCTCTGACTGATGTGTGGCTCCCTCCGGCTCCTGTTAATACTCTGGACAGCTGAGTCTAACTTGTCTCCCATAGTTTCTGAGAAACTTCCAGGGCAGCATCCTTTACAGTTCTTGGTATGTTCTGGGGGTAGTGGATGTACATATTTATTACAGTTCATCCTCTGAACCTGTGGGTTCCATATTTCTGGATCAAAAATATTCAAGGGGAAACATTGTGTCTGTACTGAAGATGTACAGACTTCTTTTTTCTCCACTTGTCATTATTCCCTAAACAATACAGTATAACAATTATTTACTTGGCATTTGCAAGTATTGGGTATTATAACTTACCCAGAGATGATTTAAAGTACCCAGAAAGGATATGTGTAGGTTATTAAAAAATATATACACTACACCATTTTATATAGCGGGCTTTAGCATCCATGGGGTTTGGAGTTTGCTGAGGTCCTGGAACCAATTCTGTAATTTATAATAACTGACGTTGGTCTGTTGGCAAAGTTGGCGCACAATAATCTTGTTCTCCATGAAAATGATCCTTAATTATTTTCCCGTCTGCAGGAATTAGGAAACAACTCAGTATTGAGCGGTGGAGAACCAGGCGCATGGTCAGAAATCTTGGTTCAGGCGTCTTAGTGTCTTGTTTGTAGAATGGCAATAACAACACCTACTTCATAGGGCTGTCTGGAGACTGAAGGAAATAATAGTTATCAAAACAGTCAGCACAGTGCCAGGCACACAGTAAGTGCACAGTAATGTTAGGTGGTTATTATGATCACGATTACTGGCAACTTGGAAAGACGGAGCCCTAAGATGGCACAGGGCTAGGCGCCAGGGAAAGACTTGGAGATGTGCCCCAGGCGTGCAGAGAGACTTGTGCGGCTACCAGCAACGAGAAGGCGGAGCTTTAGGTATCCAGCTGGACGCGAGCCCCCGGAAAGGCTGGACTCGCGGGCCATATTCTTCCAGTTGAGGCTCCTTGATCACGTACCAATCACAACACATTATCTTTGATTTTCGAAAGTTCCCAATCCTCTAGACTTGCAGGAGGTGACTGCTGGGTAAGAGGACCAAAGAGTCGGGCCCGCGGCGGTCCTGGACCCCAGACTGTCGTGTTAGGCCCCGCCCCGGGGCGGTGTCACCGGAGCGTTTTGGGAGTACCTCTCGCCGCAGCACCCGGCGTCCGCGCAGCAGACTCCCTCCTCCCAGGCTGTGCGGTTCCGGCGAGGGGTGGCCCTTTAAAAGGCAGTGTCTTGTCCGGAGGGGGCGGGCAGGGGGAGCTGACCGCCGCCCGAGGCCCAGCCCCTCCTCCCTGCCCCCTTCCTCGGTTCGTCCGTCCCTCCCGGGTCCCAGCGTCGCTGTCTCGCTAGCCCAACGCACGCTCCGCCTCCGTCAGTCGGCTCCGCTGACTAGTGAGCGGCGTGGACAGGAGCCGGGGCCGGACGCGCGGCCGGGGCTGGGGGCTGGGAGCGCGGCGCGCACGGCCTCCCAGAGCAAGAAAGGGCCCCCGCCACCGGGAGAGGCCGGCGCCGCGATGGCAGAGATGGGCAGTAAGGGGGTGACGGCGGGGAAGATCGCCAGCAATGTACAGAAGAAGCTCACCCGCGCGCAGGAGAAGGTGAGCGAACCGGTGTCGGTCACCTGTCCCCCTACTCCCCAGGGTCGGGCCCTGTCGCCGTCGCACGGCGGCTGCCCAGGGGTCCCTAGGCTGCGACCCCCGATGTTCTGAGTTTCCCCCTTCGGTTCGCGTTCTCTGTCTCCCCACCTGGGCTGGGGCAGGGGAGGGCGCAGCTGTCCGCTCACCCCCTCCTCTCCCTGCCTTCGGCCGCTTTGTACAGTCGCTGTTCCCCTGCGGAGAAGTGGCGGCCCACGCTCTGGGATCCCGTAGCTGCGCTGGGTCCTGTGTAACCCCACCCTGGAGGCCAAGGGCTGGGAGGCTGGGAGGCAAGGTGGAGACCCCCAGCTCTCCAAGCCCGTGCGGGCAATTCTGGAGGGGCCCACTCCTGGGAAGGGTGGGAGCGTTTCTTTCCGGCCCGGGGCTACCGCACGCCCCGGACTCCTAAGGCTACTTTCCAGCCCGGGGGCGCTGGAGCCCGCAGTTTTCTTTCCCACCACCTCTCCACCTTCGATCCCACTGGCCCGAAAGAAGGATCGGATTTCTTTTCCTGCGAGGTGCCTGCGGCCTGGGAGCTCCTGCCTGGCTCCGCGGTCAGCAGAGGGCTGCGCACCCCTCCAGGAGGTCCCCTTGTTCGAGCAGGGGCTTAGCGTTTCCCGCTGTCCGGGAGGGGGTGGCGGTGCTGGCTTTGGTAGCCCTGGCCGGCCGGGTGGGGACCTGTCCCAGAGTAGGGGCGTGTAGGGCGCCGCAGGAAATCCGACCCCTCTTCGCCGAGAATGACTCCCAGCTGGCGCGGGGGGATGGTGTCGGGGCTTCCTGGGGCACCCTGACTGTGCAGGAAATGCAGGGATTGGGAGGCGGGGGTCCTTGCCGGGTCAGCTTTTTATCCCGAGCCATCTCTGGTTTATTGAATTGGATCACGCCAGCTGCTGACGCCACTTCCCCCTGACGATTCTTACTGAAATCTGAGAATGTAGAATCCGTGTTTCTGCCAGGGTAGCTAGCCCCCCAAGAGCTCCGTGGCGGACCGGGTGGGGACCCGGGGACAAGCCGGCCTTCCCCAGCTGGCCTTGTGGCTGTTTATAAACAATGACTTTTGCAGCTGAGACCTGCGGGCTCCCTAAGGATGCAGTCACGTGATGGCACGCGCGCGGGGGGGGGGGGGGGGGATTGGGGGAAGCTTCCCCTGTGTCTCCCTGAGTCCCAGTGCTTATCCTTGTGGTTGGGCTAAGGGGGTGGTTGTGTGTGGAGGGAAGGGCTGCGGGCCAGGCTCCAGATCTGGCCAGCCCCAGCTCCCCTACCCCACCCCAGGAGGAGGGATTAGAGCCCCAGGAATAGCTTGGTGGGGGCTGGGAAGACTTACATCTTCCAGGTTGGAGGGATAGCAGCAGTTACTCTTGCTCCCCCTCCTCCCCATGACTGGCTAATCCATCTAGGTGCCTGGAGCAGGCAGCCCTGGGCCTGAGCCTGTTTCCTGATCCTAAGAAGAGGAGGAAGATGAATAGGAATCTGAGAGCTCCCTGAGACAGGTTCCCTGTCCCTTCTGCTGATGTCCATCTCCTGCCTGGCTCCCCATTGCTCCTGGCGTGCCCCTTTCCCCCAGTTGCCTTTCTCTGAAGCATCATCTTTGATGTAATTCTAGGCAAAGTAGGCATGGGTTGTGTCCCCTTATTGTAAGTGGCCATGTGTCGCTGGCTCACAGCGGCCTGGGAGCTCCTGCCTGGCTTGAGCTCCCTCTTCAACCCCTATTCTGTGGTCTTGGGCAGTTGGCTGACAACTGGTGGGCAATGGATGCTGGACTTGGCCAACAGCAGGTTAGGCCCTGCCCAAACCTGGGCTTCTTGGAACTGCAGTTGCTTAGTGCCACAGCTGTTCTCTTCCCCACCGGGTACTAGTTAGGCACCCTCACCCCACCAGAAGCCAAGGCAGTGTAACAGGCATCATGGCTGTCTTTGAACGTAGACTTCCTTCCATCCTTTTCCTTCCTGGCCCAGCTGCAGGCCCTGCTCCCCATACCTCAATCCACACCAACCTCTTCTGTTTGCTTTTCCTGCCACTCAGAATCTGTCACAGGCTGGCTGTTGTTCACAGGTCTGCCTCCTCAGCATCTTCTGGTGGTGTTCAGGACCCATTCTAACTTTCATTGCTAATGGAACTTCAATCCTACTGCCTTATAATCGCCCTACCACTGTCCTTACTTTGCCTCAGTCAAATCAATGAATAACGGGACAATTCCTATTACCTTTTTTTGTCATAGGAGGGCATTTTTTGACGAAGAATAACAGGAGCTATGGTGGAAGGGTCAAATGATATTCATATAGGAAGAAGTGCCCCCCATCGTTCATCCTCTCTTCTCCGCACACCCCATCTCAGCTCAAACATCCATTGAGACTCAGGGGGTCACAGTGTGGTCAAGGGCACTCTGTCCTCTGGTGTTGTGGATCTCTATGGGAGTCACTGAACCAGGTCTCCTCTGTGTCTTTCCATGGATCCTGGGTTGCTGTTACCCACTGATCCATCTGCCTCTACCACTGATTAGGGCAGATCCATATGTGTGCACTTTGGGCATTTACCAATAGGTAAATCGCCCAATAGGAGCTTAGTGTTTATGAACAAATGAGGGCATTTGGGGGGATTGATTTGAGAGCCCTAAAACAGGCCTGTGGGTGGGCCGATTTGTGTCATGTACTACTTTGCTGTCCCTTGTTCATCAAATCCTATCTAGATGTGAGCCAGATGCCTTGTCCTAGGCTGAGTCCCTGGACACGGTCAAAGACTGGGTTGCCTGTGGCTCTGGCTCATGAGGAGCGTATTCCTGTAAGGTTTCCTACTGCCACTGCTGGCCTCTCAGCCACCCCCAGTGTGCCTGAAGCTCAGGCCTGTGGGCGCCATGAGGTCATCTTCCCATTGCGTTTGGCTTGTCGGACCCTCTATAAATGACTGTGTCCATTTTTGGGCCTCAGAAGGGTGGCTGGGCAAAGCCAGTTTAGGGTGGAGCCTGGGTCAGATGACAGAGAGGATTAGAGGTTGGCGGACAGAGCCCCTTGGGGGATGGGGTGGCTGGGCAGAAGGACAGCTGGGGTGCAGGGGGTGGAATCTGTTCTGTTGGAGAAAGGTTTGTGGCCCGAGAGTCCTCATGGAGCATGTGTCAAGGAGGCTGGGCCTTGTTCTGGCGGAGCTGGGCTGGTGATGAACATGGGAGAAGGCCCTGACCAGGGTGGAAGTGTGCACTTTCCCCCTCCTGGCTGGCCTTCCCTGAGCAGGCTGGACAGTGGGGAGTACCAGCTGGGAGTGGGAGGTCCCAGGGCTGTCCATGCACACACTGCACTGGCATGCCCAGCAGATGCTCATTAAAGGAAGGGGCAGTGGCAGTTATTTATAGGACCCTGACACATGGCCATGAGTCTCACCATGTTCCTTTGCGTGGTCAAGGTCTCCCCACGCAGTAGCTTTGTCAGCCTCTTCAGTAGGAGCCAGGCTTATACACCAAGCCCGTCCTTGCTGCAATGATAAGAGTGGCCAGGCCACACTTAAAAGTAGGTGCCCATGGCCCTTTTAACATAAGAGGCAGTTGGGGCATAGGCAGTCCTTACCATCCGTCCAATCATACTACCTTGTGCTAGAGCTCAGAGCCCACCTGGACCACTGACTTTGCAGGTACCTCTCCTTCTCAGGCCCCAGTCCAGAGCTGCTGCACAAGAGCAGCAGGTGCTTTGTCCACCTTTGCCCTTGAGTATTTGAGACCCTTTCCTTTCCCTCCTCCTTCCTCCTTCCCAGATCACTTGTCTTTTCCTCTACCTGTCTCTCTATCTCCTTGCTCTGGGCCTTTTCCCTATGAGTTTGCCCAGGCTTTTTTTGGGGGGAGGCGGGGTGGGTACTGGGATTGAACCAGGAGTACTTGACCACTGAGCCACATCCCCAGCCCTATTTTGTATTTTATTTAGAGACAGGGTCTCCCTGAGCTGCCAAGCACCTTGCCCTTGACGAGGGTGGGGTTTGAACTCGAGATTCTCCTGCCTCAGCCTCCTGAGCTGCTGGGATTACAGGCGTGTGCCACCGTGCCCAGCTTGCTCAGGCTTTTGATGTACCTTCTAGACTGCCATCAGCTTCCCTTGAACCCAGGTTATTTATGTAACTGTTCATCACCTGCTGGAGGGAGGGATCCTGACATCTTATCTAGGTGTGTATACATGCTCTGTGGGCTTTGGGTTTAGGCAGGTGAGTGAGGGGAGCTTGGAAGCACATCCCGGGGACCTCTCTGAGCCTCTGCAGGCTTGGGTGGCCTTAGTACCGTGTGCTGGCAGGACATAAGCCAGGCAAAGCCTGTTTTGTCTAGGAGGGCAGCTGAGGGGAGTGTAATGGGCTGCCTGGGGCCCAGGGAAGAATAGGTCCCAGGAGCCATGAGTGTGGGCTGAGGTATGGAGTGGGGAGTGGGGATGGTCAGGACATTGGCAACCCGGAAGAAAAGGGTGGACAGGTGGCAAATTCAGGTCAGATTTGATCAAGTCTTCAATGCTGGGGATTCAGGGAAGCCAAGCTCGACTACTTCTCTTCTTCCTCACAGATCACCCACTGGGGCTCCCTTCTCACTTTTGCTCTCTGGCACCTGGCCAGGCCTTTGCCCCTGTAACCCAAGGCTGAGCCTCATGTGGTCCTTTTGCTATGAGGTTCTAGAACCCCAGAGTCCCACTTTCCACTTTAGGCCTTGTGTCCTGCAAATCACTATGTGAATGGGCTTTGGGTTTCCCTGATTGGCTGCGGGATCTTAGGCAAGCTGCAATACCTTCCCAAGCGCTGTTTCTTTTTGTCAAATTGGGGATAATGATGGTTCCTCTTTACATGTATGTTGTGGAAAGTAGAACCTTTGACAGATGTCCTGCACATAGCAAATGCTCACTAAAGCCAGCACCACAAAACCCCCACAGGGAGACCTACTTCCCCACACAGTCTGTCTTCCCAACTCCTCTCCCTGGGAGGGTCCATTACAGGCCTTTGTAGATAGC